AAAGAGAAGCCAGGGGAGGCATGGGTGCACAGGGCTGCGTAATTAACAGAGGAGAAGGGGAGGAGAGCAAACTGCTAAGAACTCATGGCCATCATCACCCTTTAGAAACAAAGTCTCTGCTAAATTTAAGTCCCTTCTCTAGCTACCCAGCTATCTGAAGTGAGGAAAATTTGGAAAGGTCAGAGAAAGGGGCCAGTACTCACCCAGCTCAGTAGCAATCTCCTTCCGGGCTCCCAAGGCTGCTCCACTCCAGATGGCATCTAGTACACGGCTGCCATGGCGACTACAGGCCAGAGCCACATATTGTCCCTACAGTGAGACAAGCAAGGTAGGTTCCCTTAGGGCAGTTCACAAAGGTGTGCTGGGGAGGGCAAGGGGGAAATGAAGTTTCCGAAGTCTACAGGTGGAGTCAAGAGAATCTTAGAACTACATATTCTCTCTCTGACTCTGAAGGACAGTACTGGGGCAAGCTCATGTTCTCATAAATGGATGCTGGTAGGGGCATCAGAGCAGAACAGAACCTTTAGGGTCTTCAGCACGCGGCGGCGCTGCTTGCGCGTCACAGTGGGGCTGCTCAAGACAGCATTGAGCACGTGTGAGCCAGCAGGGCTCTGGGCTAGAGACAGAAGCTGTGGTCCCGTCAAGGCACCCAGACTTTGAAGTATGATACCAGGACTAGAGAAATGCAACAGATGCTGGAGCAGGAGGGACCCCAGGACTGTCACGTCCCCCAGGGCCCTGGCTGTGGCCACGTCCACCTGGAAGGACAGAGAGAGGGCATTAGGAGGCAGCCACTGAACTGCCATCTCTGCCTGGATGAAGCCAGAGGCCTCAACACCCTCACCACAAGGCTGAAGGACTTTTTAAACCCCGGCTCCCAGTTAGTCACTGGTTTGGCCCCGTTCCTACCTTACCTGGTGCTCTGCAGGCACCGCCCTCTCCTCCTCCAGCAGTCCATAGTACACCTCATAAGCCATCAGAGTGGCGAAGAGAGGCACACAGGCCACTTGCCGGGAAGAGGGCTCTGCACAGTGGAAGGCCTAGAGGGGAAGACAAAACATGATGAATCTGAGAACAACTTCATCCCTAACCCCGACTCTGTAGACAGGGGAAAGCATTCAAGAGACGTGAGAGTGTAAACTGTGGGAGGGGGCAGGATCTCATCTGCCTTGCTGTATCCCCAGCCTCTATACACATGACAAGGGCTGAACAAACATTTAGTCCTTAAGTTGCTTAGTTCTGGGAGACCATTTTCATGCCAGGGCTATGAGATGGGTTTGGCTTCATTTTGCTCCATATCTGTGAACTCCTCGGGAATGAGACCTCCTGAGACCCAAGATACAACCACCAAAGATAAGAATTTGAATGGAGGGCATAAACAGGTGGCAGGTAACATCACCTCCAACAACAGCTGCAGGACCTGGGCTTGGTGGGCCCCAACTCTGCGGCAGGCCCCCACAAGGGCAATGACCACCCCTGGGTGACCTTGAGCCAGCACAGCTTCCAGGGCAGGGCTCAGCTCCTCAAACACAGGTGACAGCTGAGGAGAGACACAGAAAGAAGAATATTTGGCATTTTGTAACAGTGGACTAAGTTATTCAGAGAAAATCCTACTGAAAACTAAAAACATTAGATAAACATTGCCAGTATCAGGGTTTTGGTTTGGTCACAAAGTCCAGGACCAGGGTGCAGTCTTCGAAGTACCCCCTCACTTGGGGGGAGCAGGGTACGTTAAATGGCCACCCTCTCAAGATAAGAGAATAGTAGAATTAAATATGCCCTTCTTATTCCAACTCCCAACCCATGAGGTCACAGGCAAGCATGCATTGGTGCTAAGCAGCAAAAGCAAAAAGAAGCTATGGCCATAGCTCCAGCACTCATACAGATCTGTCGCTAAGTACCCAGCGTCTGAATGGACCATGGAACCTCAAGCTGCAAATCTGGATTAAGCCAGTCTCCTGCCAGGCACCTGAGAAGCTAACACAAATCCTTTCTGGGAAGAACGTACTTTTGTCCTAAGCTCTGAGAAAACCCCAGGAATAACCTTTCCAAGGGAATGGCCAGCACACAGTCAGAGACACCGAGGTAGGCACATGATAAAATAAAGCCCAATGAACAAGAACTAGCAGAAACAACAGGGTACAGAAAGATCCAGCCCCATTCTCAACTCACCAGCTCAGGGGTAGTAACAGCATCCAGTAAACGCTGCAAAGGGAAGTTGGCAATTGGGTGTGCAGCCAGGGCCTGCAGCTGCCCTTGGAAGTGATCCTCAAAGAGGCTCTGGAGCCTCAGGGGCTCCAATACCAGCAGGACCTGCTCCAGGAGTCTGGAGCTTGTCTGATCCCGCAGAAATAGCAGCAGGGGGCTAGGGACAAGGAGAAGGTGATCAGGCAGCCTTACTCTACTTCACCTAAAATACCCGCGTCACTCCATTCACTTCACACAGTCTGAGCATACCTGCCGTCTGCTGAGGGGTTGCGGCTACTCAGATAGCTGATCACAGCACTGCAGACATGAGCACAAAACTGGGGCAGTTTGCGGTGTAAGACTTGTAAGGCCACTTGAAGGCAGAAGCTGGAGATCTTGTCAGTGATAAATACTATGGGAGAGAGCAGAAATAATCAAAACAGCTCTTCCAAAATCCAGACCTGTACAATCTCAAACCTCAAACAGTAAGGTACCAGGGACTATGGACATAAAGGCTCTATACAAAGTCTGCAACATAAACCAGATCAGATTCGAAGAGAAATACGACTGATCTAAGTGAGGGCTTTGCAGGATGACAATCACCTCCAGAAAAATGGGTCCTAGACCCTCCTTCTCTTAGCCTCCTTACCAGCAAGGTCCTTCAGAAAGCAAGAGCTCAGGTCCCGAAGGCAATTCAAGAAAGTTTCAGGGACCTCAAAATCAGTTGGCTTACATTCCCGAGCCGGGGCCCTTTGTGCATCTGAAAGAAGAACAAAAACCTGTGCAGTTCTGGGATCAAAAAGGACCATCCAGGAGGGAGAATGAGTCCATAGATGATCAAAGATTCAGCTTGGAGATGCAGCATATGTATGAATCTGTCTTCTCATCTGGATGACTGAACTGAGACTCTGTTTCTGTTTTAATTTTTCTAAATTTCAACCAGCTCTCCAGTGGTCCATAAGAGATAGGCCAAACTCTCAATCAGGAATTCAAGCTGTTCAGAAATCAGGCCTCCTTTAAACTCTCTAACCTTATTTCCCAGAGTTTTTAAAAATGTAGGGCACTGCCTATGACTGCATCATGAAATCACTTTAGTGGATCTTAACCAGGTCTTTTTCAATGGAACAAAACAGAATAAAATAAAACAGAGAAGGGGTGCCTGGGTGGTTCAGTCATTAAGTGTCTGCCTTCAGCTCAGGTCATGATCCCAGGGTCCTAGGACGAGCCCGGCAATGGGCTCCCTAGTTGGTGGGAAGCCTGCTTCTCCCTCTCCCTCTGACCCTGCTCGTGTTCCCTCTCTCGCTGCGTCTCTATCAAATAAATAAATAAAACCAGAGAAAAAATATCAATTAATAATATTGTTTCTCAAAGTTCTGGTTTGAGTCCAGTATCTATATACATACACATAGGCAGTTCGGTGATGTTTAAAAAAAAATTACATAAGTTGTGGTTAAAAAGAAATTGACATCCATTGCCCAACTAAATCACCTCTTGCCCCTGGCCCATTCCACTAGCTGTCCCTCAAACACACAGATGCAGCCTCACCTCTGGGCCTTTGTTCACGCTAATCTTTGGTTTGTTAAGCTTTGTTCTCATTTCTCTGCTAATTCTTCAAAGTCATGAGGAATTACTCCTCTGCTTACTCTCTCCTTTTGGACTTCCTAAACTCTCCTCTAGGTCCACTTCCCTCTCTTGTAATACTTACCAGGTGACTGAGAGCCACGGTGTCTGGTTCTCTCAGACTCCAGAAGAGTCCCTCCCAACACCTGCAGCAGAGTTCTAACCACGAAGCTGGCATGTATGTCTCCACAGTAGAAACGAAAATCATCACACACTTCAGAGGCTAGTCCCAAAACCAGCTCCTCCAGGGTCTCCAAGGGACCATCCTTGCCATTCTCCTCCTCCTCCAAGTCCTCCTCCTCCTCCTCTGCCGGGCTCCCCAACAATCGAGGCAGCTGCAGCAAAGCACTCTGCAATACATGCACCCCGCATCGATGACAGGCCACAGAGCGCAAGCTGGAGCGCAAAGCAGCCCAGACTCGACAGAGCGGTTTCAGGGGACTGAATCCCAACAGTTCCTGCATAATCTCACTGCCAGTCCTGTTTGTGGCCAAGGCTAGGGCCTGAGCCTCCACTTCCTTCAAAACATTGTGCACCATCAGTTCTGGATAGACAAGAAAAGAACTATTTTAGAGACTGAGAGGAAAATAGTTTATGTTCCATCAGTTAACCGAGTGAGGGAGAGAGGGGGGAGCGATAAAGAGGGTATGGGAGATGAGACTAAGTCCCTTCGCCCTGGGGACCCATGAAAATTTCCCTTCCTGTCCTGGAATTTATGCCCAACGAATCCCTCCTAGTCCCACCCTGGGGTTCCTCCCCACCTCGTTCTTCTCCGGTCTCGGGAGCCTCTTTCAGCGCGGACAGAGCCCGACGGAAATACCCGAGAGCTTCGGAACTCAGGTGAGAGTGAGCATCGAGTGCCGGCTCCGAGCAACCGTCCGGAGGCGAACAGGATGGCCGCTGGCGGCCTGGTCTGGGGCGCCCCGACCCCTTGGCCCCGCGCCCTCGTTTGCCACCTGCTGGGAACCGGCGCCCCGCCTTGTTGGGGGAGCGCGGAGCCAGCCCCATGGGTGCTAAAGCTAGTGTTCGTCCGCCAAAGCTTTCCAGCGAAAAGGGAACCTCAAGCAGCCAGGCGCGTGCAGGGACTGGACCGCACGTAGTTTAGAAACGCGGTCGCGCTCAGGGCGCCGCCTATACGTCATAGTCCCGCGACGGCCCCTACCCCGGCGGCAGTGGGCGTGCTCCCAGATCGCCCCGCCTCCGTTCGTCCTGCCCTGTCCCTCCTGAGAATCAGCCCAGACCGACCCTCTCCTCCACGCCCCCAGCTGGTCCTCGGCCGGAACGCAACTGGCTCCCCAGCCTCATACTCTGACTCAGTTTCAGTCACCCCATCCTGCCCCCGCGGCTAGAACTGAAGTTCTCGAAGACCGAGGACTTTGAGAGCCAGACGGCGCCGAGACTCCAAGACCGCACGAGTAGCAGGTAAGGAGTGCGAGCTCCCACTACTTAGGACTCAGGGTCCCTGGGCTTCTCGCTTACCCCGGACCTGGAAGCCGTGCCTCTGTGCTAGGCCTGACAGGGCCAGGCCAGAGCCCAGAGCTCCTGATAGCCCAGCAGCCTGCGTGGACCCGCAGTGAGGGGCAGCCGCGCCAGAACCCCACCTTGTCAGCCGCTTTCAGAGTTCCGGTAGATGTCTAGCCCTGGACAGTCCTACTCAGCCCCTGGGGTCATAGTGCCTTGACGGCTTCTAGCCAGCGGCAAAGGCCAACTCGTTCACCTCCCAGAAAGGACTAACAATCTTTCCCTGCAGCCTGCACTGTTGTCCCGCTCTGAAACTTCTCTCTGCTCAAAGGATTCCAACCTTGCCTCCCCCTCCTACCACTATCAGGATCACCCTTCCGCATTCAGTTTGCAGGCCTCCCTAGAGCAAGTCTTTGCTTCCACAGATTTTCCCCTTTTGCTTCTGAGTCATGGCAGCTCCTATGAAAGGCCAAGTGTGCGTGGTGACTGGTGCTTCCAGGGGTATTGGCCGTGGCATCGCCTTGCAACTCTGCCAAGCAGGTGCCACAGTTTACATCACTGGCCGCCATATGGACACCCTGCGGGCCACTGCTGAGGAGGTGGGTGCTTCCCCTGGGACCACAGGAGTAGAAACCACCTGAGGTAGCCCTTCCCATTAACCACTCTGTCCACTAATCCCTTACCTGAAGCCATAATATTCCTCAACACAGTGTCAATATTTATTCAAATTAGAATAAATAAAGCCGATAAATAACTTCAGATCAGGTCAAAGTTTGCCACTGAGTTTTATGAAGAAACTTTCTGTTTAAGACCTTTAGGAATTGCAACTGAAGGGTTGTCGACCTGTGGTTTCCTTTATTTTAGGCAAGACTTTATTGAGCTGTGCACTTTCGCTTGACTTTTCTACTGGATTTCGGTTAAATAAATATTTGGTTTGCCAGACATTGCGTGAAGCACTGAGGTTAACCAAGACTAGTGAGAGGTCACTTCTGCTTTTAAAAGATAGGGCCTTAGCAGGAAATCAGAGGCACAGAATGCTCTGGGATCTTGGGCGAGCAGTTAGGAAGCAAGGAGGTAAGAGGGTGGGACCCAGAGCATGGATCCGGAGAGCAGGATTGGTCTTGAATAAGGTGTTTTTCTTCCCGTGAAGTTGGAGGATTGGGACACATTTATGGAAGGTAAGATAGAACGGAAAATAGAAATAGTTCATAGCTGAGAGTTTTGGTTTTTCAGTTGCTAGCTGGGAGCATTGGTGAGGTGACTGTCAGAAGGCGGGGACTGAGTAGGGGTTGCAAGTGAGTGGTGAAGGGTGGGAGCTCAGAGCATGAGAGATGGGAATGACTGAGAAGAAGGAAAAGGAGAAATACTCCGGGGCACCTGAGTGGCTCAGTGGGTTAAGCCTCTGCCTTCGGCTCAGGTCCTGATCCCAGGGTCCTGGGATCGAGCCCCACATTGGGCTCTCTGCTCAGCGGGGAACCTGCTTCCTCCCCCCACTCTCTCCCTGCTTCTCTGCCTACTTGTGATCTCTCTCTGTCAAATAAATAAATAAATAAAATCTTTTAAAAAGAGAGAGAGAGAAATACTCCTTTCTCGGGAGCAGCCCCCCTGCCTTATTTGTGCCTTGCCTTCCACTAGCAGAGTATAATGCCTTGCCCGTGGTAGGCCCCAGTAAATGTAGATTTTAAACCTGAAATCCCAGGGCGCCTGGGTGGCTCAGTGGGTTAAAGCCTCTGCCTTCGGTTCAGGTCATGATCTCAGGGTCCTGGGATTGAGCCCTGCATCGGGCTCTCTGCTCAGCGGGGAGCCTGCTTCCTCCTCTCTCTCTCTCTGCCTGCCTCTCTGCCTACTTGTGATCTCTCTCTTTATCAAATAAATAAATAAAATCTTTAGAAAAAAAAAAAGAAGAAGTATTAAACCTGAAATCCCAGTACTTTGGGGTCTGTAGGAAAAGGACCTAACATTCCTGAAGCTCCTCAAACAGACACCAGAGGGCGATATTGCTCATTGTCTTCTCTCAGCGCTGGCGCTGGTTCCTCCTCTTGCCCTCTCTGTCGCCCAAGCTGGGAGTTGAAGAGAGTTGCCTCGTGTCACACATTCATGTGCAACTCTAAACTCATATCCCCTCTGTCCCTCACCAGGCACAATCTCGAGGGGGCCAGTGTGTTCCTGTGGTGTGTGATTCAAGCCAGGAGAGTGAAGTGCAAAGCTTGTTTGAGCAAGTGGATCGGGAACAGCAAGGGCGTCTAGATGTGCTGGTCAACAACGCCTATGCCGGAGTCCCAGTACTCTTTAAACTTTGATTCCAGTTCCACATTCCTAACCTCCCCCTCTGACCCTGGAATGCTCGTTCCCACTCACCGTCCCTTTCATTATCCAGCCCCTCATGCTTTCCTGCCTTCAGATCGTCCAACTCACCACATCTCCTGTGACTTCCAGGCACTTATGAAGAACATTAAGAAGGCATTCTGGGAAGCCCCTGCCTCCATCTGGGATGATATCAACAATGTTGGACTCAGGTGAGTGTTCCCTTTCTCCCGCCACAAGGGCTGGGTGTGCCTGGACCTCTCCCTATGTGCCCTTTCCTTGTCCCTCTGACCTCCCCATCTCTTCTCCTTGTCCCATTCATTTTATACCCCTGGATAATTTCCATCCAGGTGGCTCTGTACCTGGGAACATTGAGTTTTACCTTGCTTCTGTCAGTAATTTCATCTGAACTTGCTCTTGGCCTCTCTCCTGCCTTATTCTGCACATCCAAATGCATGGCCCAGAAGAGAGCCTCCTTTCCTCAGTCAGGCACACAACCTGTAGTTGATCTTGACAAAAATGCTTAGAGGAAGAAGTTCTTTTGTTTTAGATCAAGAGATAGTCATTGAGAGTGAGTGCCTGCTGTTTTAGCCTCCATATCTTCACTCCAGATCCGCAGGCAGGGGCACTCCCACGTCAGAGTTACACATACTTCTGGCATGGGAGCGAGATGAAACACAGCAGGCAGAGTTCCCCTAGCATGATACACCAGTTGTGTCTCTTTTTTTAGTATTGGAACGATGGTGCCCTTTTGGAAACTGCACTCCATGGGCGTGATCAGCCACCTGTGGGAGTAACTAAGAGATTATCTGAAAATCTGTGACTAAGGCATTTAGGAACACCCACAGCTTCTAGTGGCAATCCCAGGGAAGCAGGATTAGAATCCAGTTGTGATTTCCAAGGTAGAAGAAAGATGATGAGGACAGGGAGGGGTGGTCAGCTAAGAGGCAAGAAAAGAAAACCCAAAGACTGGTACTGGCAATGCCCGCATGCTTAGCCCTCCAAAGGGAAAGCCCCTCCACACTCTCATCTTTTTCGAGTCAGGGTTATGAGCCTATAAGGCAGAGAGGTCCAGACCTTGGCCCCTGAGCCCTGATGAATTTTCCAAAATAAAAGCCACTTGGTGAGCCTCTTGAAGCCCGGCAACATGTCCTCACCCCCCACATACACATTTATGTACACATTGATCATGCCTTTCCTCTGTATTATCTTACATTGGGCTTTCCTTTTGAAACTATAATTCTCTCTCCTTGCTTCCACTTGGAGGGACCCGTTTTCCATGCAAATGAAATGTTTTTCTGGTTACCAAGTATGTGTGCACTGGGTTTTCCCTACATAGAAAGGTGGAAAACTAAATTTTTCCTCTATACTCATTCATTGGTGGTTCGTTTTACCAGTGTTCGTCTCAGAAAGTGGCCTCTAGCCCTTGATTCCCCAGGTCCATGGCTGCCCCATGTGGCCTTCTGTCAGCTGTCATAACCACTAGAGGACAGAGGAAGCTGCCAGGGCTACGGCAGCCAGGCCAGGGGGGGACATCATTTATTCCTTCTCCTTCCTTGCCCCACTCTCTAGAGGCCACTACTTGTGCTCCGTGTACGGAGCGCGGCTCATGGTTCCAGCTGGCCGAGGGCTCATCGTGGTCATCTCCTCCCTTGGGGGGCTGCAGTATTTCTTCAATGTCCCCTATGGCGTGGGCAAAGCTGTGGTGAGGATCCAATAGCACAGGGGTTAGGGAGGCCTCGGACCGTGACCGTACCTCTAGCTCAGGAGCTACAAGTCCCAGTGGTCAGAGTAGTAAGGCCAACTGGCCCTCTCCTCCCCGCCATGCCCCTCCATAGATAGCTCCTCTGCTCGGGCTGCTCCTACGTGGCCAGAATAGGCAGCACGCTGGGGAGGTAGACAGCTGAGACAGGGCTCTGGGAAGGGTAAGGGGGCTGGGCGTCCCCAGCAGAAGCAGGGAAGGCAGGGGAGGAAGGGGATGTGGCCACATGCCCTGGCTCTTACCCTGCCTTCTGTCCTTCTACAGTGTGACAGGCTGGCTGCGGACTGTGCCCACGATCTGCGGCGCCATGGGGTCAGCTATGTGTCTCTGTGGCCAGGGTTGGTGCAGACAGAACTAATAAAGGAGGTCGTGGTGAAAAACGACAATACTGATGATCCCTTGTTGAAGGAGGTGGGCAAGGGGGTGGTGCGAGGGAGGCAGAGGATGCAGAGGACTCAGCCTCTCCATCCCCAGTGATAAGACAGTAACACCAACAGTCAATGCCCTGGTGCCTACTGTGGCAGGAGCAGGCTGAGCACTGGACACACATTATGCCCTTTCATCCTGTAAGGGAGATACTATCTCCATTTTCCAGATGGCAAAACCGAAATGTTAGAAACTTGCTCAAGGTCATATATACCATAGTGGAAAGGCTTCGTGCCCTGAAGCCCATGCTCTTGACCCCTGCACTGAACTAGCCTAGGTGGTCCAGACGTAGTTGACATCCCAAGATGCTTCCACTTAGGAGAGGCAGTGGGTCCCAGCTTCACCTGGATGTAGGAAAGAATTGCTCCAGCACCTTCCGGGATTCTGAGTCCTGCAGGTGCAGTGATGAGGGCCTGTCTCTCCTGGAATAGGAGCTGAAAGTGGGGAAGAAATGTGGGCAGTTCTCTTGGAGATTAGCCCTTTCCTTCTCTGCCCCTGTGTTTCAGCTCAGATCTAATTTCTCCTCTGCGGAGACCACCGAAATGAGTGGCAAGTGTGTGGTGGCTCTGGCAACAGGTAAAGAGGTTGGGGCAGGTGGTAACAAGAAGGGGGCTGGAGATGGGACACTCATGGGGCTCAGTCGGTTAAGTGCCTGCCTTCAGCTTGGGTTGTGATCCCAGGGTCCTGGGATTGAGCCAGCATCAGGCTTCCTGCTCAGGGGGAAACTGTTTCTCCCTCTCCCTCTGTGTGCTCTCTCTCTTTCTCTCTCTCTCAAATAAACCTAAAAAGAAGAAGAAGAAGAAGAAGAAAGGAAGGGAGGGAGGGAGGGAGGGCAAGCCTGGAGAATCTGCAGGGAGCTGGCATCCAGTCCTGAGTCCTGGCTCAAGAGGTGGTAGAGGAACGGGCCCTTCTTTTCTCTGGCTTCTGGAGACCCAAAACGGCCCAGTCTGAGGTTTTGGGAACCTCAGGAACTGGCTTACAGGAAGTGTAGCCAGGAGCCAGAGGTCTAAGAACCTTCCTAGAAACCGGAACAATTCTGGGCACCTCAGCCTGTCTCAGTGGTGCCCTGTCCCTTTGGGCCCAAACCTTGTCACACTGCATCACTTCCATGCCTCCTCAGCTCTATCTGTGCTCACAGACCCGAATATCCTAAGCCTGAGTGGGAAGGTGCTGCCATCTTGTGACCTTGCGCGACGCTACAGCCTTCTGGATGTGGATGGTAAGAGCTCCGGCCTCCCATCCTCTGTTGCCTGCTCACTCCTCCTCCCACACTCTCTTCCAGTTCCTTCTTCCCTCACATCCCACTCAGGGTTTCAGCCAAGGCGGAGGTGTCTAAGGAGTGGGAAATGAGGATCTAACCCTCCTCTTCTTCCTGTGGTCCACAGGCCGCCCCGTCCAAGACTATTTGTCTTTGAGGTCCGTCCTCTCCCATGGCTCCAGCCTGGGCTGGCTGGCCTCCTACTTGCCTGGCTTCCTCCGTATGCCTAAGTGGATTATGACCCTCTACGCTAGCAAGTTCTAAACCTCCTGGCCTGATGTCATAACTCTGCTCTCCCTCAGGCTACATGGTAGGGCTTCTTCGTGTAACAAGGCAGCCCCTCCTGCCTAGCTCATACCCTTGCTAGGGAGAGAAGGCCTCCTCTGTGTGTCTTGGGTGAGCCCTGGGGCCTTTATGAATCCTCCTTTATGCCTTAATTTTACCTGCTCCTACATATTACTTCTTGCCTTAGTATTGGAAAACACTCTGGGGGCTAATAAGTCTCATTTCTTGGGGTGCCTGGGTGGCTCATGGGTTAAGCCTCTGCCTTTGGCTCAGGTCATGATCTTGGGGTCCTGGGATCAAGCCCCACATCGGGCTCTCTGCTCAGCAGAGAGCCTGCTTCCCCGTCTCTCTCTGCCTGCCTCACTGCCTACTTGTGATCTCTCTCTCTCTCTGTCAAATAAATAAATAAAATCTTTAAAAAAAAAAAAGTCTCATTTCTCTTTCGGCAAGTTTTGACTATTGATTGTGTGCTCAGCAAGGTGTTAAGAGCTTGAGAGAAAAACTCCAAGATACACAAAATGTTTAGGTCCTCAAGGAGTTCCCTGGCCAGGACAAAGCCCCTTTCCTCCAGATGTGTTCCTGCTCTTTCCTGTAGAGCTGCCCATCTCAGGCCACGAGGCCTGTTTCCACGCCTCCCTGGGGAACAGGGTCCCTTCGCAACCAGAAGCAGGCACACCCCTGTCTTGCAGTCCTTTCCCACCCCCACAGTCCACCATCTCCTCAGGGATGCCCGCTGCCTTCTAGCTGGGCCTGATCTCAGGGCACCAAGGGCAGATTCCTTGGTGTTTATGATTCCCTGGCATTTGGGGGGAAAGTACTGTCCATATCAAAGCGAGAGGCGGAGGAAGAGCTGCAGGCACCTTCCTCTCCTCTCGGGACGGTATCACCCAAATTGCTTCCCGAGGAATTGGCAGCAAGAACCCTGTAGTGCTGCCTGGCCTGCTCCAGGAGCTGTCCCAGCCTGATGCAAGGTCACCTGGGGTGTGTGGCCAAGGGGAACCCAGGGCCACTATGAGGGAGCCTGCCCAGCAGCAGCCTAGATGGCCATCAACATAATGGGACGGCCACTGTCCATCAGAGTCACAAAGACCATTTCTGCTCTTTGCAAAAGGCAGAGTGAGAGCTAAGGCTTCTCAAAGCTGCCATAGCCTGAGCGGAAGCTGGGCTTCCTGTGGCTTCTGGGGACAGCATTGCTTACCCACTGCTTTATGTGCCAGCAATGTGCGTGAGGGCAGCTCCCTGGCTCGTGAGCATGGACTCTGTGCTCTTCCAGCTCTGCAGTCCATGGTGACTTCAACATTTGCGGCTTGACTTTAGCCTTGGCGACAGTATGCATGCCACAAAAACCAAGAAAAGCTACTAATCAGGGCTTCTATTTATTTACTTATTTATTTAGAGCTGGCTTAGCATGTGATTGGAGCCATATATCTAAATCTACCATTTGGCCAAGCACTCCATGTAGATCACAGTGATCAGATGTCCTCAGCATCGTCTCGCCCCCTCCCACTCACCCCCCTCTCAGTTCCTGTTGTTTCCCAAGGTTGGCGAGGGGCAGAGGCATTGCCTATATGCTACAATACCAGTAAGGGCCTCTCGACCTGCAGCCTTCCACAGCTGTCATTAGAACAAATCCTTGCGTGATGGCATTGCCACCTAAAGGCCACAAGGAAGATTTGGAAGAATGTGGGTTTCAGATTCATGCAAATCTACATAAAAATTTTGGCTCCAACACTTTGAGAATGAAATGAAGTAACATGTATAAAACCCCAGGCGATATGCAGCCATCGAAGCTGTCAGTTCTTTCTCCTGACAAATATTTAAGAATATGCCCTGTACCAGTCACCATTCTTGGCTTTGGGAACACAAAGCACAAGACAAACCAGGCCCTGGCCCACAGAGGGTTTTCACTTCAGCCCTGGAAGAACTTGGAAGCCATCTTGACTTTCCGCTGATGAGGAAGGGTGTGAACTGAGGCCCCCAGGGTCCACAGGATGTGGAGAGAGACCTCAGTACTGGTATCCCAAGAAACCAGAGGGGCAGTGTTCTTCCCAGCACCCAACCTTGCTTCCCTCCAACAAGTGTCAGTCACTCTTCAGAACAAGCAATAGAGTAACAGCTCAGAGGGAATGAAACATGGACAGTGGGTTTTGCTTGGAGATGGAAGAGAGTCAAGATCTGAGAAGCCCAATAGCAGAGTCACAGGACTTTGGTCCGGGGGGACCGATTCCAAAATTCATTCCAAAAAAATGTTTGTTTATGCCTACACACAGCACCATGTCAGGCCCCGGGAAGACTAGTTACGTTTGCGAGATGGGTGCCATAGCCAAGTTCACACAGAGTACTCTGAGAATACAGGTGGGAGCAACTAGCTCCATTAGAGAACTGGCCAAAGACTTAAAAAATAGGAAGAGAGGAGGAGTGGGAAGGTTTAATTATTTCTAATTAAGAAAATAAAGGGCAGGGGCGCCTGGGTGGCTCAGTGGGTTAGGCCTCTACTTTCGGCTCAGGTCATGATCCCAGGGTCCTGGGATCGAGCCCTGTGGTGGGCTGTCTGCTCAGCAGGGAGCCTGTTTCCCCTCTCTCTCTCTGCCTGCCTCTCTGCCTGCTTGAGATTTCTCACTCTCTGTCAAATAAATAAAATCTTTTTTTTTATGATTTTATTTATTTATTTGACAGACAGAGACCACAAGCAGGCAAAGAGGCAGGCAGAGAGAGAGGAGGAAACAGGCCCCCCGCCGAGCAGAGAGCCCGATGCGGGGCTCGATCCCAGGACTCCGAGATCATGACCTGAGCCAAAGGCAGAGGCTTTAACCCACTGAGCCACCCAGATGCCCCTAAATAAATAAAATCTTAAAAAAAAAAATAAAGGGCACATCCTGAGGCACAGAAGGGGTCCTTTTCTCTCCTAGTTTCCCTCATAACCGAGTTAAGCACAAGCAGCTTCCAGTTCCTCTGGTCTCCTGGCACACAAGCCCAGGCAGGCCCTGGACCCCTTGACCTTGCTGCAAGCAAGCCGGCCCACTTCTAAGCTCCCCGAGGCACCTCAGCACAGAGGGCTGTGGCATCCACCCTGAGAAGGTAAAGCCCGTGCCTGTCCTTGGCTCCTGCTTGGGGCCGGTTCTGTCTCTGCAGCTCAGCATGAGCTCAGCGTGGGCCAGGTCGGCCTGGTCAAACAGGAAGCCCCAGGGCTCTGTGAATGGTCCCCGGGCAGGGGCACCCATGGTTGAGTGTGGGGTGGGGTGGCTGGCCAAGGCATGTGTCAGGGAGGGATCAGGACAGACCAAGATGAGCAAGGGTGCCCCTGGATGCCTGGAGGTAGAAACTGAGATGGAAATGAGGTTTTGTGGGGAAAGGCAGGGATGAGAATGCTGTGACACGCCCAGGAAAGTGAAACCCAAAAGGAGCACGAGTTGTATGCGACCCGGGAGGCAGCCTGGCTACCCTGACCCCTCCTGCTTCTTTGAGTCCCCACCCTGGGTCTCCTCATGGTTGTCTAATTGTCTCATGATGATAACTGAAAGCACATCGAGAGCCAGACCTTTGTTTCCCAAGGCCTTCCTTCACCCGTCCACCTTTCCCTGCCCAGGGCTGGGCATGGAGGAAGCTGCCACCGATGTCAGCTGACTGGGAGACAGAAGGGCAGGGGGAATATTCAGCACCGGGGCCAGGAAAAGGGCAGGGGAGGATGGGCTGTGGGGCCAGGAGGAGCAGTGGAAGGATGGGGGCCCTGAGAGGGCATAGGCGGAAGGGTCCAGAGAGAGGGGCTTTGTGGAGGGGTGGACCAACCAAGGTGGTGAAGACCAGGGGACAGATGGGATGGGGGAGGTGATAGCAAAGTGACTTCTGAGGTCACCATGGGGACTGTGCCCAGGGATGGGGAGATCAAGTTGCAGGAGGGGCCTCCGAAAAGATCTCAGAGGAAGTCAAGACCTCTGAGGACTGTGGGTGGGTGGGAACCAGAATGAGAAAGGAAAAAAGACAGGCCTGGGCTCAACCACCTCATCTTGATTTGCCCATTGATCTTGGACTCCTGTGGGGCCCTCATGTGGGCTTTTCTTTACCTTTGCCTGGATCTCCCTGCTCACAACACCCAAAGGGGACTTCAGGAACTTATGGGAACTCCTCCTCGGTGACCTGTCTTGAAAACTAGAATCTACACACTTCGGTCCAGTTCTTGCTCTTCTCAGTCTGTCCTGATCCCTCCCTGACACACACCTTGGCCAGCCACCCCACCCCACACTCAACCATGGGTGCCCCTGCCCGGGGACCATTCACAGAGCCCTGGGGCTTCCCGTTTGACCAGGCCGACCTGGCCCACGCTGAGCTCATGCTGAGCTGCAGAGACAGAACCGGCCCCAAGCAGGAGCCAAGGACAGGCACGGGCTTTACCTTCTCAGGGTGGATGCCACAGCCCTCTGTGCTGAGGTGCCTCGGGGAGCTTAGAAGTGGGCCGGCTTGCTTGCAGCAAGGTCAAGGGGTCCAGGGCCTGCCTGGGCTTGTGTGCCAGGAGACCAGAGGAACTGGAAGCTGCTTGTGCTTAACTCGGTAATAAGAGAAACTAGGAGGGGAAAGAACCCCTTTCTAGGCCCTTGGAAATGGAGGAGCCTGTGAGATATGCTAGGAAAGAGGCAGAGGGAGGACAAAGGGTCAGCTTGGTGTAATCTCTGTTAGCAGGTACAGACACATATGCACCTGTTCTCCAGCGAGCAGATCTTGGCTCCCCACTCCTTGCAGAGGTGGTTCCAGAAGAAATAAACAAAGCCTGAACTCCACAAACAGAAAATGCCTGGCATCCCCAGAGGGGTTCATACAGGAGGGAACAAAGGTGACTCGGCTTTGGACTTTGACGGTCACTTGAACACAGCTGAGCCAGCCAGAGACTTGTATTATGGTAAAAGCTGAGGGAATTAGCATCTATCGAGCACCTGCAATGACCTGAGCAGTCCTCCGAGGTCTTACTTAATCTTTTCACATCTGCCACATGAGGTAAGTACTCTCTTACAGCTCTGAAAACTGAGGCTCAGAAAAGTTGAGGTCCTTGTCCAAGCTGCAAGTCTTTACAGCAAAAGAGTCTAGCCTCAACGTGTGACTCCAGAGCACGGGTTCTTTGCCAAGCACCCTCTTGCCTCTGCTGCTTGGTTTTGGAGGAATGGGGTTGTTTGCTTTTGGTTTGGGAGGATCTTGGGGTTGGCGATTGGGCAGGATGGTGAAAATGTTCCCAAGGTCATTCAACCCAAGGGTTCCCTGGCCAAATACAGACTTGC